ACTTTTTTGGACCAAAAAAAAAAACCTTCTCTATTCCAATATTTTCCAAGTTACCATTTGATCAATTTAGGTAAGCGAAAATAGACTTAAAAGAAAATTGTCTTTTTATGTTTTGGATGTGACAATATGGTATGTATGTGACAGCCCATCCCAAAATATTTGTATCGATGGCGTGGAATGACGATTTTGCCCTTGGACGCTAGTTGGTGTCATAGGTGATTTGTTTCTGGTTGGTGACTCAGCTGGACATCACACACACACACACACACACACACACACACACACACACACACACACAAACCCATACCCTTTCCCATAGACTTTCTCTCTCCTATCTCGGATTTTCTTCCATTTCCGTACAATTGTATGGACAAACCTCAAATCAACCCTTCAAGTTGCAGATCGAGATCGTTGTTGGTGTTTTTGAACTCCTTGCAAGCCTAGGAATTGATCTATACCTTTGGTTGGACATGAAACTTTCGAAAACCATTGTTTCTCGCGAGCTCCGATTTGGGCACTATTCATGCAATCGTGATCGTGAAGTTTTTAAGCTTCTATGGAGCTTTAGAATGTCTTCACGAAGCTTGGAGAAGAAAAAGAAGTGTTTTGGACGTCGGGAAGCTTAGGTTCGAAGAATTGCAATGGTGGCCAGATTATCGTGGGTTTTTCCAGTGAGTTTTCATTGGATTTAAGTCCTAAAAGTGGTATGGTTTTGTTCTACTCGTTGTAAGCTTCATTTTGGTACAAATGTCATGGATTTTGGTTAAGAAATGAAGAAGATATTAAGGTTTAAAGTTTTTCCAGAAACTGGCGAAATTTCAAGTCGCAGATGGCGGCGCTGGCGGCAGCAGACGGCGGCAACAGCGAGGCTCGCCGAAGAAGGAGACGAATATTCCGTCAGAGTTGACGAAATATTCTAACGACATCAGGTAACTGCCGTTAACTTCTGTTAAGGTTTTAACGAAATATTCCTAACGGCGTTAACGGTTACCGTTAGGCGTGCCAAGCACGTGGCCACGCGTGGAAGCGCCTCTGGTGATGCCTTGGCCGGCGCATGGGTGGTCGGAAATTGTTTTTAAAAATACAGGGATGTTCGTGGTGTCGAGTAGATCACGTTAGTATATTCAAACACCCCATTTGAGCAATGTATGAGAAGTTATTACCTAGTTTTGTTTATGTGCTTTAAATTGACGTTTATATAGTTGTTTCGCATATAGGTGAGACCTATCTTGAGGACAAGCGCAGTCACTCGAGGCTCGGGGGCTATGACCCTTCCACATACCAGTGAGTGGGCTTTTGGTTTTCAGTATATATCTATATACTTGATTTTTCCCATAAATTCATTTTAAATGAAAGTATGTTTTGAAGTACCATGCCAAGTATTCATATGTTTTATACATGCATTAATAGTTGCATATATTTATGGTTGACGTTGTGGACGCACAGGTAAGTACCAGGTGAGTTATCGAATGTTTATGTAAGTTGAGGATTATGTGAGATGTTTAGAGAGCTCATTAACCTGCACCCCAGTGTTAGTGCTCCGCCAGAGTTGAGGGCCTAGCCTTCATGTGATCGTTCACCTTTCGCACCACACACGCTCAACTTGGATCCAAGGCAGGTGCCAGCCTGTTGTACATAACACTTTAGGTGGTTCCGACTTGTAGGTGACTTGCGATACTTCGCACAACCTTCACGTGATTGTAGCACTATATCGTATTTATTTACACCCAGCTTGTTGTACACACGCTCGACTCGTGTGTAGGCATATTGTTGATCAGATATATATATCGTTGCTGAGATGTGGATTTGAGCTCTAGATTCAGCCGTGCAGCTTACGTTAGGTGACTCCGGTTGATATATCATTTGCATTGATTTATATCACCTGGATTACATATTTCATATTGAGATATTTGGCATGGCATATTCATGATTAAAGCTTGTTGAGCATGGTTTTGAGATATGAATATATTCTATTTTCTGGGAAATTATACAAGTTTTACCGTGAGAGGTTACTAGTTTTGATAATTGAAATGATTTTGAAAAGCTTTGTTTTTGCCCACTCACACTTTTTGTTTTGCGCCCCTCCAGGTTCTAGTTAAGAGTGCTTTTTGGTGGCTTGCAAGGAATCCACAGCAGCTCTGATAGATTATCACCATTGTATGGTCACCTTTGGGTGTTGTATAATTAGTACTTATCTGCCTGACTGCACTTAGGCTACTTATGCTCTGGTTGTGTTTATCACATTTAATCTCTCATTAGCATGTTATCCTAGCTAGTATTTCTAGTAGTTTGGTTTTTTGTTCACTCGTATTTCTTATATCTTTATCGTTCCGCACTGTGCACATGGTTACGTCACCCACACGTGACAGCCAGCATGCCTTGATTTCGGTTAGGGTGTGTCAATGTATATACTTATTTAGTATTATGTTTTTCATTTGATTATTTATTGGTTTAAAATATATTTTCCTTAATGGCCAGCGGGTCGGGTCATATTACTTGTTAATATTATCAGGTCAATTTCGGGTCAGGTCATTTTACCCATTTATTTTAACGGGTGTTACATGACACGACTCATTAAGATATCGGGTATGACACAAAAACGACACGAACACGGAAAACACAACACAAATGTCAAGTCTAACTGTGACCCTGTCGTGCTTTTGCCTAAGCCCATCTCTGCAACAAACAGCTCCAAACCCACAAAATTACCCAGATAACAAACACATCACAGATTCAAACACCAACCATCAAACCTTCATCCACCAGCTACAACCTGCAACCCAACCTTCAAACTTTCACAGCCGTATTATTACGCACAAGCTTCACCCCTAGACCCTTAGCCCACCTACAAACCCATCACTGACCCTCCTGTGAGTTTGCAGCCGCCTACGATACAATCTAAAGGTCTACCGCAGACCTCTGAACAAAACGGGACGGCCTAGTCATGGGGGGCAAGGTTGAAAGGGGTGGATGACAAGGTTGAGGGCAATCAACTGGACGGTGAGTGGGTAACGTCAAAAGCGTTAGGGATAGCATGTTTAGAAGGGATAGCCTTGAGCTTGTTTTCTGGAAATGCTAAGGGAAATGGGGAAGAAGGCACAGGTAGGGCAAGGATGAAAGGTTAAGGTTTCAAACAAAGGTTGGGCCTCGGGTTGGTTTCAAACAAAAGTTGGGCCACTCTTCGCTGGGCCTCAAAATCTAGGTTGTTGACTCATCACCCAAAAAAAAAAAGAAGAAGCTAATAAAAAAGAGAGAAAGGCTACCAACAAGGAAAATAGGCGTGGGCCTCATTGACAACTAAACAAAAACAAAAAAATAAAAAAAAAATAAAAAAATGGGCGCGGGCCTCCTCTTCTTTGGGCCTAACAACCTTCATAAAAAAAACATATAAGAAATGGATTTTGGGCTGCCACTTAGAAAAGAAAAGGGCAAAGCTTTGTTATTTTGACAACTTGGCTACTAGCAAGACACCTCATTCGGTAACTCTCGTCGCCCAAAGACTTTAGGGACTCCTACTATATGCTACTACATCTCGGTACTCAGAAGTTTCGTGATTACTCAGTGACTTGGATTTGTCAAGTCCCCAACTGAGAAACTTTCCTCACTCAAGAACTTAGGGGAGCACTGTTTGTACTATACTTGACCAATCCGAACCTACACAACACCAATCAACATCATACCTTCAAGGACCCAATGAGGGGTTTATGTTGAGGTACCCCTGTGAAGCAGAAGAGTTTCCCTTCAACCAGAAGGCCAATCACAGCTCAACACATGTTAACGTCAATAAAGCTCAGAGTCCCACATCGATCGTGGACAAAAGCTAAAGACTCTCCTTAACTATAAAAGGAGACCATTCTCCTACAATGAATCCCTAATGTCATTATTATACTTAAACTAGTCATTAGAACTCAGTAATGATGATTATGCTTGAACCTATGTATTTGTGTAAACCCTTCACTATTAATGAGAACTCCTCTACTCCGTGGACGTAGCCAAACTTAGGGTGAACAACGTACATCTTGTGTTTGCTTCCCTATCTCTATCTTTTTACATATTTATCTTCACCAATGACCGAAGCAACCAAGCGAAGGTCACAAACTTGACACTTTTACGTTGTTCCAAAGTCTTCATTGATTTTGTGCATCAACAAGTGTCATTCCAAATTAGTCTCAACATTTCTAAATATTCCAAATAAGTACCCAACCTATTAAAAATGTTACATCCGTTAATTTTTCAAACATAGGTTATGTAATATGAAACCCAATAAACAAATGGATATTGAATTGAATCAAAAATGGACCCAAATTGAAATTATATTAGGAGGGCAATTCTTAACAAATGTGAGGGTTTAGAATTCAAATAAGATTTCAAGGAGCTTGTTTCTACTCACATGGTTTCCTCTGATTCTCAACTCGTAAAGCTTCCAGTTCTTCTTTGTGGGTGGTGAAGGTGATGGTGGCCGCATCATGACAATTCATATATACAAGTTGACAGCTCAATGTTGTAGGGTGGAGGCTCTGCTTCCCTGACCTTCTTCTCGAAGTTGACGGCTTGAGTTGTAAGGTGGTATGCTTCCATGATCTTCTATTGATTTTGGAGACAAAGCAAGCCCTAGTTAATTTAACAGATTTTTAAATGAGGCTTAACGGATATAACATTTTCAATAGGTTGGATACTTGTTTGGAACGTTTAAAAAGGTTGAGACTAATTTAGAATGAGACTAAAATGTTGGGGAGTTTTAGGTACTTAATCCTAAACGTTTGAATTTATATACTTAGTTAAGGTACATGTATTTACTTCACACGCTCACCTTCTAACAGTCAAATATGTAATAAAAATAGGGAATATCATATATGACTATATTCGGCCGTAAGATGATGAATGCTAAGCAAATATATGTACCATAACGAGTTCCGGAATTCACCTCATTCAAAGAGAAAAAAATTGAATTCACTTAACAGAGACTCAAACTGGTAATTTAAAACAACGCAACAGACGTATTAAGACAAGAAAGCATTCTTCATATCAATCAACATATATATGCATGTGGTCCAACATTTTAATGAATAAAGTGTTGAGTTTCTATTCATACATCACATGTTCGAAATTCTCGTCCTAAATTATTGTAATAGTAAAAAAGTTTAATAATATATATACACACACACGACTTTTCTACGCACCTCAGCTAGTTTTCTCTATATGGTAACAGACATAAAATCCACCTCTCTCATCATCCAATATCCAATTAATCCATGAATCTCTTAATTAATCATATAATTTTCTGGACGTGCTTGGCCAACGATGCAAGTGCAACGTCCACGGCGTCCCCAAACCCAAGATTAGTCGCATTCGGATGCGCGTAAGTCAGACTTGGGATCAATTCTATGAGCTTTTCTCGCATCGCCGTCACCTTTTCTTTCGGAATCTTCAGCAGCTCCTCTTCGATTCTCTTACTCGCGTCGCTCTTCTCGTCAATGTAAACCGAATACGTGCTCTCGTCACCAGGTAAAAACCACTTGTACTGAGTGTACGCCGTGTGCGGCGACGAGAAAACCGGTATGCAGCCGGCAAGCACCGAGTCGAAGGTTGACCGCCGGGTGAACGAGTCGCCGGGCGCTTGTAAGCAGAACTGCGACTCCGTCATCACCTTTAGCACCTCGCTGGGCACGTGGCATTTGCTGGCCCCAGACCCACATTTTAAAAGCATGCAGCGGGTCGACTCACCGCATTGCCTTATGAACTTGTCCCGAACGGCCGCTTTTTCTAACCCCTTTCTGGGCCCACCAATGAAAGAAAACAAGTGGGGTCGGTCCATTCCCCTCACTCTGTTCTGCCACGCCACCATCTCCTGCCAAGTGGACGGGTGGAAATAGGAAGGGTAGGGCAAGCCGTGTTGGTTTGACCCTTTCCAAGGTTGCCTCTCCACGGTCAGCACCGACATGTTTTTAACGGCTGGTAGGTTGAGGAGGGAGTTGAATCCGAAATCAGGACCATCGGTAACCCTCATGAAATCCCACGCGGTCCTCCCAAGGGTGATAAAGTGGTCTCTACCTTTGTGCTTCTTCCACCAAGGCTGGGACTGAACGTAGTCGACCAAGTCAAAGGCGAGCTCGTCGCGAGCGGTGAGGTTGGCTTCCTTGAACTTGCTGGAGGCGTAGAGGCCGCCGTAGAAAGGAACGTAGAAGATAGCGGCACGTGTTGGATCAAGAGTGCGGCAGGGGTGATTCTCCACTCGTGCGTGGAAGATCACCTCGGCAATGAACTGATGGGTGGCGAACCACAAGGCGGCGGAGCCTAATTTGGGATGCGGCTGGCCGAGGCCGCTGTTGGCCACATAGGGACACATGTCGGTATAAAGGTTTAGAGCGTGACAATGGTTCAGCAATCCAAGGTTGAACTTGGCCGGCAAAGGGTATACATAGACGGACAGGCTTGGGTCGCACGTGGGAACTTTGAATGGGGATTTTGAGGTGCTGGTGGTGTCGACGGTGGCGGCGGTACTAGTTTTGATGTTATTGGGATTTCGGGTTGTGCGGATGAGATGAGGGTGGACATTTTGTTGCTGCTGTGGTTTTTGGACAAGATCAACACCAACCTCAGCAATGGGTCTGGTTTTGGGAGGGAACCAAAGGAGGAGAACAAGAAGCCAAAGAGAGAGAGAGACAAAAACCAAGGCACCAAATCGGAGGTAGGGATTGTTAAAGTGGGTGTCTTTGTTTTTGGAGTAATCGTAGTGTTTTTCTTTCTCGTCATCAGTCCATGGAGGACTCGGAGGACCTTGCTTTCTAGGATACATGGAGAACAAGAACAAGAAGACGACGACTTGGAATTAATGTTAGAAGAGAGAGAGAGAGAGAATTGGTTTAATGGTGGTGTGAATTGAAGCAGTGACAGAGAAGACTTGGTTTGATTTGGTGCCCTCTTTCTCCAAATCTCTGATAGCTCTAAGCTTAAATCATTCTCCTCCAACTTGGCTCTCACTCCAAAATAAATTAACCAAACAATGAATAGAGAGATGAACAATAACAGGTTTTCCATCCAATTCCAAATCTCTAATAGCTTAATCCTTAACAAATCATCCTCCTCCATTTTTAGCTCTGACTCCAAAGCAAACCAAACAATGAATAGAAAGATGAACAATAACAGGTTTTATACCCATTTCCAAATCTTTAATAGCTTAATTTTTAACAAATCATCATCCTCCATTTTTGGCCCTCACTCCAAAGCAAACAAACAATGAATAGAAAGATGAACAATAATAGGTTTTGTACCCATTTTCAAATCTCTAATAGCTTTAAGCCCTTAACAAATAATTCTCCTTCAACTTGGCTCTCACTCCAAAGCAAACCCAACAATAAATAGAAAAATGAAAAATAACAGGTTTTGTACCTTATTCCAAATCTCTAGTAACTTTAAGCCTTAACAAATCATTCTCCTCCAACTTGACTCTCACTCTAGCGCAAACCAAACAATGAATAGAGAGATGAACAATAACATGTTTTGTACCCAATACCAAATCTTTAATAGCTTTAGGCCTTAACAAATGATTCTCCTCCAACTTGGCTCTCACTCTAAAACAAACCAAAAAATGAATAGATAGATGAACAGTAACAGGTTGTGTACCCAATAACTCAATTTTAAAGACAATCAGACTAATTTATTTTGTTATCTATTTAGATATGGTTGGAAGCACACAATCAAAGATACTCGACAAGCATTGCCTTGAGGGGCAGCATTTCCCATTTTGGTACCGTAACTTCAAGATTCTCTTTAGACTGGAGAAGATTGCTTACGTACTAGAAAAGGCTCCACCTCATCTAGCTCATGGCACTGATGCCATTGAGAATGAGTGTGCTAAGTTTGACAAGAATGTTGAGGATGACATATAGGCCAAGTGCTATCTGCTAGCTTCCATGAATGTTAGCTACAAGGACATGATGAGGACGTGGACTATGCAAGCTCCATCATACTCCATCATACGAAGTAATATGGTGAAAGGATGCACAATCGTCGCTTCAACACTGTCCGTAAACTTATCAAGACTGAAATGGTTAAGGGAGTCCTAGTGCATCAGCACGTACTGAAGATGATTGAATTCATTGAGCAATTGGAGAACTTAGGTACTCCTCTTGACGGGGAATTGGCCCAGGACTTCCTCTTGGCTTCTCAATCTGATTTGTTCTCACAGTTTGTCATGAACTACAACATGAACAAGATGGATAGTACTCTCTCTAAGTTACTAAATATGTTAGTAACCGCTAAAAACACTACGAAGAAATAGAGCATTGTAGTGACTTCAGTTGTAGACCACAACAAGCCATCATCTTCCAAGGCCAAGCCAAAAGGCACTAGAAAAGGTAAGGCGAAGAAGTCATCAACTGCCAAAGCCCAAAGAGAAGTGAAGAAGAAGAAAAAAGAAAAGATACCCAAGGGACCTTGGTTCCACTGTGGAAAGGACGAGCATTGGAAGAGGAATTGCACGTCTTACCTCGCATCTTTTAAGGGCAAACCTGCAGGTACAAGTTTGTTCTTATGTAAAATTCTAATTGTTAGATCTTCTAGTTTTTATATGAGATATAAAATGCTAATCACTTATGGAATTGTCTGTAGGTGAAGGAGCCAAGTAGAAGATGAACAAGCAAGAAGGAAAAATGAAGTGGAAGAGTTCAGCCCACTTCTTATTTTGCTAGCTACTTAGGAAGTTTGTAGCAGACTTGGTAATTTCTTACATGACCCATTAACATGACACGAAAATAACCGATTTCGAGTCAATATGATGACTAATCGGGTCAGGCTATAAGAACCCGTTAATAATGGGTCCTTGATAAGTTTACACGAAGATGACACGTAGGTAATCTGTTTCGACATGTTAAGAAAAACGTTATTTTGATAATTTTTTTTTTTTAACTAGTAAAGAAACTTACTACAATATACACTAGCCATAATTTGATAATTTTAATTTTTTAAACTACCCAAAAATAAAAAAAAAATAAAAAAAATAAAAACTTACTATAAAATACAATATCCATAGTGTGTATGTATATATTTTATTGTATTACTGTATTATTATTTTATATAAAGTATAAAATATATAAACACATTAAAAAAATTCTAATAATGAATTCACAACTGCGAAAAATGTGAAAAAATATGCAAACGCTCATGATCGTATTCTCTACGCTTTGAGTATGGGTACATTGACGTTTAAATTTTTAAAACCATTCAAATCCTCATAAATAGTATTTTTAAGTGAGTCCAAAACAAATAAAATTCATAATAGTTAATGCAAAAGTCTGAAAAAATATGAAAGCATATATAAACGTGCAAGGTTCTTCAACCTTGAAACACAACTCTCTTCATTTTGTATACCCTTGAACATTTGGTATTTTGTAGTAATGTAATAATGTTTTTTCATTAGGCTCTTATTTTGGAGTATGTAATACTTGAAAGACAAATATATATATATATATATATATATATATATTTTTTTTTTTGTGTTTTGAAGTAATATTTATGTGACAATGTAGTATGCATATACTAATTTAGTATTATATTTTCCTTTTTTTTTTGACAAATTATGTTTTTCATTTTCATTATTTATTGATTTAAAATATATTTTCTTTAACGGATAGTGGATCGGATCATATTACCTGATAATATTAACGAGTCGATTTTGAATTGGGTCGTAATACCCATTTACTTTAACGGATGTTACACAACACGACTCATTACGATATCGGGTATGTCATGAAAACAACACGAATACGGAAAACACGACACGAATGCCAAGTCTAGTCTGTAGGCATTTAAAACAGACTTTAAACTTTCTTAATTTTGTTAAGAACTTATTATGTGGCTTCATATGATGGAAGACCCATTTTGGTATCTATGTGAAGGCATATAATTAGTCTCTAATGTTAGAGCTAATTATTTATAAACTTATTGATGCTTCACTAATCATATTAGTGTAATGTGATAAATGTCTTCTATTACATTTGTTCCTTAAAGTAGTTTTGAGAATTGAATGTTGTCTAGGTATTCCAAATGGAATACAAAGTAATATATCACTTTGATAATGTGATAAACCAACTTTGAATTTATCAATTAAAGATAGATCTGACACATGTTGCCCATAGATGGATACAATGAATCTTTGGATTTGGTTCCAATTGCCTACATATAAGTTTTGTAAGAATTGAGAAAGTCTAGAGATTCATTTCTTGTAGGAAAGGAAGATCAAATTATAATAAGTGTACAGTAGTATGGAAGAGTTTCTTATATGGTTGTAACTCACTTGAACACAGTCACCAAGATTGCTCTTGGTTCAACTAGTTGTTTTGTACAACTAATTGGACACTCTTCAATTGTTTTAAGATATTTCAAGTGTGTTAGTAGTAATCAAACCAAGAATAAGTGTCTAAAATCTACAAAGAGTTTAAAGACCTTATAAGTCACTTAATAACAAGACATCCATATTGTGGAATTAAATGATAAGCTTAAAAGGTTTGAAGCTTCTCCACAATGTCCTCTACTCATGTACTCCATAAAATAATAATACCCTTTGAATGTATAATGCACTTTCTCATTAGAGTCATGAGAAACAGGAGGAAAGGATATAAGCTTAAATATGATTAGTTTATAGTTGTCTAAAATTAAAGGTAAAACACCAAACTTTATGAGCTTGAAATTTTAATTGTTAAAATCTCTAACTCTTCAATTGTTAAAGAATGTATGTTATGTAACATCCTAAGGATAACCTATGGATGTTGGTTTCACCAACCTAACATAAAATGGTTATATGTAGGGAAATGTCCATCATTGTCTTTTACAAGAACATGCTAAGATCAATACAAATGGATAAATTGATGAAACAAAAGGGAATAACTTCAAAAGGACTCACAACATAGTATTTAACAACTAGACAACCCGACTAATACGCACTATGTAGCTTTATGAAGAATTAAATCAACCACTAGAAGATATGGTTGAATTCCTATATCATTAGTAGGAACCGTGCTTCCACTAATGACTAGGATAACTCTTAGACTACTTGAAATGTCGCACCCTGGACACGGAGTCAATGGGAAAAAAAAAAAAAAAAAAAAAAAAACCTTCTCCTATAAAATAACTCCAAAATCTTTACAGAGTGTATAAATAATAAAATGAAACCTCTAAATTTCTCGTCTAACAAAACCTCAGCTCGTCTACCTTTCATTAATCTTGTAGGAGCCTACAAGGTTTACAACGTATAGGGTGAGCGAAACCACAGCTCAGTAGTGACATAAGTCTTATCAAGAATGATTGTCAAGGCTAAACTAAGTGTTAGGCAACATGAATCAATTATAACAAATTCTCATTTATCAACATTTAACTAATAAACCATGAATGCAGCTTAACTTCAATTAACCAACCCATTAATCTATATAGTAAAGCACGTGGACTGATGCGAGATTTACTTGACACTCAAATTAAACCCTCGTTTGACAATTGTAGTAAAATGGATAAGTGAGGGATCGTTCTAGACCGGGGATTAGGAGGGCTTGCTAAAACCTTCTAAATTGACTTAAGAACGTAAAAACAATATAAAACACTAAACTAGACTCAAAGAATGCAAAACTAAAATTTAAAACATTAAACCAAAAGACTCAAAACTAATTTTTGACGAATTTAAGATTATGGCTTGATTCAAAATACTTTAAAACATAAACTAAACAGATTCTAAGCACTAAAGAACAAGAAAGTAAATGGGGGTGGAAAAGTTTTGATTTGACGAAAATTGAAATAACAAAACAAGTTAATAAACTAAGCGGAATGTAAATATGAATTTGTGATGGAATGAATGGAATGAAGGCTAGCTATGGGGTTCTTCTCCACACATGTTATACTTGCATACAAGATTGATTCTCAGTTGGTCTTTCGATAAATTATGAAACTCAACACTCCGGATTAATTAGGTCCGCTTAAATTAACCGTCAAGTTTTCCTTAAGTTAATGAATTGGATGGGTTTGCGCAACGCAATTCACAACATTCTCCAAAAGTCCTTTACGTGAACAGCACAATAAAGATACAATCAAAGATCATTAAGCATTATGAAAACTATAAGTGTTGACGAGGCATTCGTTACTATGATGAGCATGAAACTCGTGCCAAGAATTCATTTAACGCGATTGTTTATAAGCAACCTCCACTACTTGTGAATATAAGTTCATAACGATTAGGTGAAATTCACTTATATTCTAGCGTCATATTTATGCATGAAAATTAAGCGCGCATTCTTAATAAACATTCATAAATAAGTTATCAATCAAACGGTTAAACAAATTGAATCCACAACTTATGAAATTCCAACGAAAGTTAATCAATTCATATTGCAAATATAAACATAGTTTCGAATCACCCCCTAGCTAAAGGGGGTTTAGTTCCTCATAACTTTGAAATCAAAGAAACACCTAAACATTCCAACAACTCAAACTTGAATTGTATGAACGTTTAGGCACTCTTCTCTTCCTTGTTGTTGTAGCACAAGGTTTAAGGATAGGTTGTGTGATGGTATGAAGTGT